TCCTGTAAGCTCTGACAGCGCGCGACATGTTATACTCCCGTTCGCTCGGGACCGTAATGGCGGCAAAATTTGAAAATTAGCAAATTTTTTGCTATATTGCAAATTTTGCTATATTTTCACTTTGAGACAATATTTATGGATAAAACTTACAGGAATTCTTGTTGAATGTACAAACTATCGAATAAAATTATTTTTGGTTGCCAGAAATTGTAATAAAATACGTAAATTACCCTGTATAGCACAGTAGTAGTATGTACTTCAATTTTAGTGACAAAATTACTACTAATTTGAATTCTACACTTTTGTTTTTGGAGAAATTTATATCAAATTGTTTGGAAATATGTATATTTTCATGTTTTATGTGTTTCCATTCGTTACTCATACCAAAATATAAAATATAAAGAAATTAAAAAAAATTAAATATTAATATTTTATCTGTGTGACATTTAGAACAATATTTCTAAAATAGTTTTGTGTGAATTTGAAATAAATACAACGTCAAGTTATTTGAAATATGTAAGAAAACTATTTTTACTTACATTTTACACTAAAAATAAATGAGAATGTGAAAAAATACCACATTTATGACCCAGCCGCCATAATTGGCCTTCCAGATTTTGAAGCACTTTTGGCAATTTACTTTTCACTTTTTATACCACAAATTATATATATATGTGTTCACTATATTACAAGGAATATAAAAAAGTATAATACTTTCGTTTTTAGTCCAGACACAAATATAAAATTCTATAAAAAAGACGGAACACCTTTATCAAAACGGCACGTGGAACGCCGAAAGTTCAGAGTGATTTCTTTTTTTTTTTTCTAAGAAACATTGCCAGGTTATGGTTTAAAATAAAAGAGCATATCTTTGTCTTTGATACTAATATCTATTGCATAGTGTCTTTGGTTTTGTTTAAAACGAAAAAATAGTTTTTTTATAGGTAGACATGTTTACATAATTCTGATCTAATTCGATCACTACTTGGCGGGCGTAAGGTTGGTATTGCGCGATCTAATGTGAGCAGGGCTTGGTTAACAGGATCGTGTGTTTAGCAAGTGTACGTCATAACTTTAATAAATTTAAAATATATATGTATATGTATATTTATATATACACAGATAGACACTTCGTTCCATCCGGATGTCCCTTGACTCTCAAGTTTTTTATAACTTTTAGTTGTTAACTTTTTTGTTATATAAGTCAGTTAGTATCTACTTAGGTTACTGAATGTACACGTGTGACGTAACGAACTGCTTTATCAATCTATCTTAACAGGAAAATGCTGCTACCACTATTTCGTTTTAGTTTCCCTCAAATAATTACATATTATTTTTAAATTTTCATGCATTCCTTTTAGAATAACACAGAATTATAAGCTAAAAATATATTGGTTTAAAATTGCACATCAAATTTATAGCATGAATCGAAAACCTTATCACACCATTTTAGCAAACAATACATTTGCATAATAAATAGATGGCTTAATATCGTTAAACTATTACTACCCTGCAATCCAGTGCATTTATTTTCCTATAAGTTGAATATATGGGAAGTTTATTTATGTTACCGAAGTATATTAATTATTGAGGTTGAGTAGGGATACAATAAAAAAAATCGAATGGTATGTAAATTATGGGGGACAAAAATAAACAGCCTTTTTATGTTGTATCCTACTCAACCTTTTATCCTCTAAGCGTTTATCGGGTGCGAGTAAAATGAAAACAATAAGTGCCTCTGTTTTAAAACTTGTAGCATTATAATACATCCTACGCAATAATATTAATAAGTCTAAACATTAAATTTCCGCGAGAACATCATAATTCAACAAATTCATTATTAACAAGCGGCTTGTTAATAAGGAATTAGTTGAGGTAAGGTGTTATATTTTTTCACGACTTGATTACAAAACGCTAGGTCTAGTGGTCGCAAACATGATTACTACGAGTAATCATGAGGTACCGCTTTCGTATACCGGGTGGAGTGGAAGTTAATTTTTGTGTTTTTTTCTGTCAATATATTCTCAGTAGCATCTCGGAGTCAAGAAGTTGGCTGTGTCTCGCCTCCGCGCATCGAAGCCGTTGTTTCTGCCCCTGGTCTCCCTCCGGTGGTGTTGTATTGCCATACCATCGGACTATGAGCGTGAGGGAATAGAGAGTACACCTGTGCACATACACGCGGACACTATAATAAGCCTGGCTAGTCTCTCCTGAGACCGGCCAGCTGCTGGAAATTCGGTCAGGATGATATTATTATATTATTACTTATACATATAATTATATATTTCTTTTTGTATCTCTATAGTTTTCTCATCTGGTTGGGATCTATAAATATATAATTATAAATGAAAATGAAAAAGATAAATAGATACATAAATATCAATAAAATAAAATAAATACAAAAATACATAAATAAATAAAAGCCCAACCAGATGGAAGCCCTCGGCAGGGGGAGACCAAACGACCGAGGGTTAGGGGGAAAGGGAAAGAAACCGGCGGACGATGCGGGCAGTATCAAGGAGCACCGCCTTCTGCATTTGAGCCCGGAGCGGTCCGTCACGGAGTCCCAGTCGCCTCAGATGACCAGAGAGGCTAACTGGGATTAGCCCATTCGCAGAGACGACTACAGGAATAATTTCGGTCGGCAGACCACCCCACATGTCGGTCACCTCGTGAGCCAGGTCCAGATATTTTGATTGCTTATCTGTTTCGGCTTTCACGAGGTTCTCGTCATACGTCATAGTCCTATCTGTGATGATGGACCGGTCCCAGTAGAGCCTGGCGCGGCCATTTTCGAGCACGGCTTCCGGCAAGTACTTGTAATACGGCAATTTTCGGTCCACGAGACCGTATTTCAGAGCGAGCTCCTGGTGAAGAATTCTGGCTACTAGGTTGTGCCTGTGCAAGTACTCAGAGTCAGAAAGCGCCGAACAACCGGAGATGACATGCCTAAGCGACTCACCGGGATGGCGACAAGCTAGACAGACATCGACGGTGCCATCCTTTGGGATGTATCTCCGATAGTTGTTGGTCTTAATAACCTGATCCTGTATTGCACAGACAAAACCCTCAGTTTCCCCGAAGTGGTCACCGAAACGTAGCCAATTGAGGGAGGCGACTGTATCTACGAAGGGCTCATGAAGAGCCCTGTAGTACCTCCCGTGGAGCTCCTTCTCCTTCCATACGATCTCCCAGTCGGAAATGCTAAGCACTGCTGGGTCCTGCCATTGATCGAGGGCTAAGGATAGAAGGGTAAGCCCTTTATCACTAGAAATGACGTCATTATAGAATGGATCATCCGATCTCGCCAGGAAGTAATCACGGAGGCTGCACACTTCGCGATTATGCATGGCAAAACCACGCCCACCATGCTTTCGCGGCAAGTACAGCCTCATTACCGACGATCTCGGATGATGCATCCTATGGGACGTCATTGTAGTGCGGACTTTTCTATCCAGGGCGTTTAGTTCAGTCTGACTCCATCTGAGTATGCCAAAGGTATACATGAAAACAGGCATGACCCAACCGTTATATGCGTGTGTCTTATTCACACCGGACAAAAGGCTGTTAAGCACTTTGGTCAAGCGTGCATAAAACACGTCGCAAACTGACTGTTTCATACCAGCCTCATCGATACCGATGTTCTGTGACATACCCAGGCATCGGTATGTTTCAGCCTCGGAAAGGGTCTTTAAGTTGACGGGCATAGATAAATCTATGCCCTCAGAGTTAGCAACCCCTTCCCCTTTCAACATGAAGGACCGCACACTTATCCGTCCCCAGCTCCATTCCAATAGAATTGCTAAATTCACAAGTGATGTTTAGAAATTCCATAAGATGGGAGTGACTGGAGGCGAATAACTTGAGGTCATCCATATAGAAAAGGCGTGTCACTTTTGTTCCTCCCTAACATAGCTGAAATCCTCTCCCGGAGCCCTCCAGTAAGGTACTGAGAGGGTTCAGAGAGAGGCAGAACCAGATTGGACTCAGACAATCGCCCTGGAAGATACCCCTTCTTATCCTTATGTGATTCTCCGCAGCCATCATCCGCTCGCCCAGATAACAGAGGATCGTACTCCCCTGCCCCATACACTGCTCGAGGAAGTCTCTAACTGTACAGTCAATCTTGTACAGCTCGAGGACCCTCTTTAGCCATGTATGGGGCACCGAGTCGAATGCCTTTCCGTAGTCTATCCAGGCGGCGGAGAAGTTCCGGCGGTTGCATTTCACCAATTTGCCAATGACCGCGTCAATGAGGAGTGGTTCCTTGGTTCCACGACCACCGCCCCGACATCTGTTTTGAGCGCGTGACATCACCTGATTTAGCTCCAGATGAGGAGTGATTCTCGCGCTCAAAATGGATTTCAGTGTCTTATATATAGTGGGTAGACACGTGATGGGGCGGTATTTGCTCGGGTCTGTGGTATCCTGATCTTTAGGAACCAAGTGAGTGATCCCAGTAGCGAAGAGGTTCGGGAGCGACTTCTGATTGAGAGCCTCTTGATACTGTCGGGCGAGCACAGCGTGACACACTATGAACCCCTTCAGCCAGTAATGATGCAGCCCGTCGAGCCCCGGAATTTTCCAGTTCGGGGCCCTACGGACCACCTCAGCCACGTCTTCAGGCGTTATGGTGACGGGGTCCATAGGCGTAACACTTGCACTCTGGCTCGCCACAACTTCCATCCAAGGACCATCGCTGTGGTTTACGGGCTATGACCACAGGCCACGCCAAAATGCGACAGTGTCAGCCTGATCCGGTCCTGGGCCCGCTCCACATACATTAAAAGGCGTAGGGAAGTGACGACCATCGCCCGCTGACGTAACAGTTATTTGACAAAAATACTACGTCGGCGCAGTCAGTCAGCGCCCTGCCAAGAGGTGTGAGCGCCGGTCCTAGGCAAAATTGTGGGTGCAAAAGTCTGTTTGTGCATATGACCGAACCACGAAACGGTGCCGGGCTTGGGCGTCTCCCGTTATTTGGCGTCCATAAATGGATGATGGTACAAAGAGGAACGCGCATAGGGCCGCTGCCTGAGGGTCGCCGGGCGCGTCTGGAGCTGGCGCTGGACGCGGCAGCATGCGGGCCGCCGGCCGAGCGCGAGAAGCTGTACGATCACCTAGCAGCCCTCCGCATCCATCATCCCCACCAGAAGGCTTGGTGTCGGCTGGGTCTTCTCGGACTCAGCAAGCGGCACCCGCCGCTGGTGGAGCACGTTGCATGTGTTGGTCACAAACAATGAACGCAAACGCACTGCGGGCGTACTTTAGGGTAAAAGGGGAAGAAACCGGATGTTTGGCATAACGGGCTCGGATGCATCGCTTTTTTTGCAGAGCTGGAGCCATCTCTATCCGTCACTGAGCAAAACCTGGCAGACCTAGTTCGATAAATAATAATGATATAATAATAATTATGTATTATTATTATATCATTATTACTTATACATTATTATCGTCATCATCATCATCATCACAGCCCTTCACAAGTCCACTGCTGAACATAGGCCTCCCCTAAGTAATGCCACAAAGCACGGTCCTGAGCCACCTGCATCCATCGACTTCCTGCATATCTTACCAGGTCGTCACTCCATCTAATGGGGGGGTCGCCCTACACTACGCCTACCGGTACGAGGCTGCCACTCGAGAACCTTTCTTCCCCATCGGTTATCGGTTCTTCGAGCTATATGGCCGGCCCATTGCCACTTCAGCTTACTAATCCGTTGGGCTATGTCGGTCACTCTGGTTTTACTGCGGATATCCTCATTTCTGAGTCTATCACGCTGAGAAACTCCGAGCATAGCCCTCTCCATAGCTCGCTGAGCGACCTTGAGCGTCCTCATACGGCCAGCAGTGAAGGACCACGTCTCTGATCCGTAAGTCATCACTGGCAACACGCACTGGTTGTACATTTTAGTTTTCAGAGATTGAGGTATACCTGACGAGAAGATGTGTCGTAATTTCATGAACGCCGCCCTGCCGAGTTGAATCCGTCGATTGACCTCTCGGTCGAAGTTGGACTTACCTAGTCGGACTATTTGTCCCAGGTAAACGTACTCGTCAACAACTTCGAGCATAGTGCTCCCAACAACTACCGGCATAGGTGTGACATGGACATTAAACATGATCTTTGTTTTGTCCATGTTCATCTTAAGACCTATCCGTTGGGAGGCACTATTGAGGTCATTGAGCATAGTGCTTAAGTCCTCCAGCGATTCTGCCATAAGGACTATATCGTCGGCAAATCGAAGGTGAGTGATGTACTCGCCATTGATGTTAATACCGTATCCTTTCCAGTCCAGTAGCTTGAAAACGTCTTCCAACGCAGCGGTTAAGAGTTTCGGGGATATAACGTCACCCTGTCATACACCTCTCTGCAGTTGGATAGGTTTCGAGCTCTGGTTCTGTACTCGGATAGCCATCGTAGCCCTACTGTACAAACACTTCAGCACTTCGATATACCGACAGTCAACTTGGCACCGCTGAAGGGACTGCAGCACCGCCCAAATTTCGACGGAATCAAAGGCTTTCTCATAGTCCACATACGCCAGGCAAAGTGGCAAATTGTACTCTTCAGTCTTCTGTACAATCTGCCGCAGGGTATGTATGTGGTCTATGGTACTGAAGCCTTTTCGGAAACCGGCTTGTTCGGGAGGCTGGAAGTCGTCGAGTCTGCGTGCGAGATGATTCGTAATGACTCTCGAAAACAGCACGTAGACGCGGCTCAGAAGGGAAATCGGTCTGTAATTCTTCAGGAGAGCGTTGTCGCCTTTCTTAAAGAACAAGACCACCGCACTTCTGCTCCACGCCTCTGGAGTAGTGCTACCATGGAGGACGGAATTGAAGAGCTTCTGAAGGACTTCAAGTACCGGTGTTCCACCCGCTTTCAGAAGCTCCGCTGTAATTCCATCCTCGCCTGGGGCCCTGCCGTTTTTAAGGTGCTGGAGAGCCATTCTAATCTCGCTTAGACTGACGTCCGGGATATCATCGGAATAGTGTCGGATAAGACTTGCTCTTGGATCGTTACTCACACTTGCGTGTGGCTCCAACGATGATGTGTACAGCTGCCCATAGAACCTCTCAATCTCACTCAAAATCTCAGGTGTTCCGGAAACGATGCTGCCACACTCAGTCTTCAGCCTTGACAGTTGGCTCTTACGGGCAGACAGATCTCTGGCAAAGACTTTGGAGCCCTGGTTCCGCTCGACCGCTTCTTTAATACGAGCAGTTTTAAAGTTGCGTAAGTCTCGCCGCATGCATTTGGAGATCTGTCTGTTCAGTTGCCTGTATGCTGTCAAATCTGTTGACGATTGCAGACTCATCTCCCGTCTAACAGCCATGAGATTAAGAGTGTGGTCGGAGAGTTTTTGTGTTCTTCTGCGGCGGGTCTTGCAGAACTTAGCTCCGACCGCATGGACAGTTTCCACGAGCTTGTCATTCACATCGTCCACTGCATTGCAATCTTGTAGGCACTGAAAGCGGTTGTGTAACTCGAGCTGAAAGTTTTCGGGATTTTGAATTAGAGCACGAGGGGGACGGAGCGTTGACTTCATTAGACGAGACCTCTTCAACGTAACTTTTAGGTTCAGTGTGCCTCTAACCATTCGGTGATCGCTGCCAGTTTTCACCCTTGCGATCACTGAGACATCACTGAACAGTTGGCGTCTGGTCGTCATAATGAAGTCAATCTCATTTTTTGTCGAACCGTCGGGGCTCGACCAGGTCCACTACCTGTGGGGCCGCTTCTGGAAGAAAGAGTTCATCATAAAGAGTCCCTCTTTCTCCATAAAGTCGGCCAGCTGCTGGCCCCTTCGGTTCCGTTGCCCTACTCCAAATTTCCCTAACTTCAGCTCACCGTTTTCTTTTGTGCCTAGTTTTGCGTTGAAGTCTCCCATCAACACCGTGTAGTGGGTTTTGGAGGAATGCATGGCTTTGGAAATATCCTCATACATTTCCTTCACCTCCTCATCGGAATGTGCCGAGGTTGGTGCGTAAACCTGTATGACCTTCAGCGAATACCGTTTGGTGATTCTGAGTATCAGGTACGCGACCCTCGTCGACACACTCCCAATCTTTACAACGTTGTTGACGAGAGACTTGTGGACGATAAATCCGACACCTCCTTGGGACAGATGGTCACCCTCCTGGTGATAGAACAAGTTGCCGGATTCGAGAATCACCGTGTCCTCCCCCTCTCTTCGGACCTCGGATAATCCTATAATACTCCAGCGCAACTTGTCTATCTCTTCTTCCAGCTCCAGGATCTTCTCGTCAGTCCTCAGTGTGCGTGCGTTAAATGTTGCCAGGTCGAGTCGTCGTACGTCGATTCTTAGCACCCCCTGCCCCGCCGTTACCATGGTCGCCACCGTAGCCAGGAATAGCGGGGCCGCCGGGGACTGGGGGCCGTCTATTTGTGTAATTGTTCATGGGGGGTATATTGCCATAGTTGCCACGCTTGGCGAGCGGGTTGGTAACCGCAATTTTTTTTGTCGTACAGTTGCTATTATCGGGAAGATGCTGCTGCCCATCTCCTGCCTGTATTATTATCGTATTATTATTATATCTTATTTATTGCACGAAATCCTTACTTATCTCTTTTAATGATGATTAAAACCATATCAAAATCCAACCGGGTGATTTTAAAGATCAAACGGAATTTAATGGTAATGAATTACAGCAAGTAATTTTTTAAAATTAAATTAAAAATGTTTATTTCAATTACGCAATGTTTTAACATACAAGATCTGGAGAACACCTTTTGAGCAAGGAGATGCTTGTGTAGGGTGACTCCGCTCTTCCACTTAACATTATACAGAGTATGCAATTGATATTAAAAAAATAAAAAAATAAAATACAAAATACAAAAAAGGATAAAGCGTAAAGGATGAAGCGCACATGAGTGATGTGTGCGTGCGTGCGTGCGTGGGTGCGTGGGTGCGTGCGTGCGTGCGTGCGTGCGCGCGCGCGTGTGTTTGTGTGTGTGTGTGTGTGTGTGTGTGTGTGTATGAGTTAAATTAGTATTCATGTGTGTAGATATAAGTTTTATTTTTAAGTTTAAGTTAGCCCTGCGACAAAATTAGCCAGGCACTGCTTCTTTCCACTAACGGTTTCGTTACTGAGGTTATAACGGTTTCTAGACAGATTATAAAAACAATGCCATGCCATTGCCTCAATATCATCATAGGTTTTAGTCTTAGGCCATTCTCGCGATACTTCAGAGGTAAATTTGTGCGATTAATTCTTTACACCTCTAAAATTGTTATTGAAATTAAAAGCAAAGCTACAGCCTTTGTATCCCCCTTGTTAATAACCTTGAAGCGACCTGTATAATTATGCATAACTGAGAAGTTAAGTTTTTATGACATGGTATGAAATCCGTTGATTCGTAGAAGATCTTCGAACAAAGAAGAGACATATGCTCGGCAGCGAAACAAATTTTGTAAATTTTTTGTTACACAAAATGATGTTCACGTCCCTTGTATCCATTAAGTTTCATTTAACTAAATGTTGTAAAATGAATGTTACTATGAAAACACCTTCTCACGGTTAACTAATACCATCAAGATTAAAATGATTTAATGTAATTTTAATACAGCTCGTATTGAGGAAGCGATTGAGCGGAACCAGGGCTCCAAAGTCTTGCCAGAGATCTGTCTGCCAGAAGGATCTAATAGTAGAAGCTGTAGAACGAGTGTGGCAGCATCGTTTCCGGGACACGTGAGATTTTGAGTGGGATTGAGAAGATCTATGCGCAGTTGTAAATGCCATCATTAGAGCCGCATGCAGTTGTGGGTAAAGCCAAAAGAGCAAGTCTTATCCAACACTATTCCGATGAAGTCTTAGCAAGTACTTGAAGTCCTTCGAACGCTCTTTAATTTCTTCCTCCATGGTGGCACTACGCCAAAGGCGTGGGATAATAGTGCGATGGTCTTGTTATTTAAGAAAGGTGAGAACGCTGTCTTAAAGAAATACAAAGCGATTTCTCTTCTGAGACGCGTCTACGTGCTGTTTCCGAGAGTCATTATAAATCGTCTCGCACGCAGGCTCGACGACTTCCAGTCTCACGAACAAGCCGGTTTCCGAAAAGGATTTAGTACCACAGACCACAAACATACCCTTCGGAAAATTGTACAGAACCTTTCAGCGGTGCCAAGTTGGCTGTCGGTATGTCGAAGTGCTGAAGTGTTTGTACAATAGGGCTACGATGGCTATCCGAGTACAAAACCAGAGTACGAAACCTGTTCAA